CTCTGCGGGCCGCAGGCTCAGCCGCTCCTGGGGGTGGGAGCAGCGTTTGGCCCTTGCCTCGCCCCCAGTCCTTCACAGACCGGAGGTGCCGGGTCTGAAGCCTCTCTCCGCCGGCAGCTCTGCAAGCCCCGTCCTCGGGGACGGACAGGCGGCTGTGGAGCAAGCCCATGTTGTACCCCGGCTGCGTAGTGCCTAGCTAGCCTATTGCCTGGCGTGGGGGAAGTGGACTAGACGAGCGTGTACGCCTAAAGGGGCTGGTCTCTCCCAATATTGCAGTCCCTCTAACTGGTGTATAAGCGAGGGAAAAGTCATAGTTTCAAACAAGAAGCGGGATCTTATTTAAAGAAACTTAAAAGATTGTACTGGCATAATTACTAGTCGCAGCCTCACGTCAACGTTGTGAAACTGAAACCCCAGTTAACACAGCAAGAGTGGATTTTTCTGCTATCCATCTGTAAAGTTTTAGTACTGGCATGTTTGGGAACCCGGGGGCATGGTGGTGTTATGCCTCTTCTAGAGTTAGGCTCTATTGCTTCTGGCTTCCTTTAAAAAAAAATCACAATATTTAGGCAGTAGGGAAGGCTTAACTGTTGAGAGAAAATGGGGCTCTAATTACAACTTTACCACTCCATGTCTTATTTTCATACTACTTGATATAAAAACTAAAGCCAGACTTGACTAAAATAATGGTATATTTATTCAGTTATGAAAGAGAGATGTTCTTGATGAGAAGAAAATCATCACTCCAGTTAAATGTCTAAATGTTTAACCAGCTCTTAAATATCTCCAGAGAGAAAGATTCCACAACCTCCCCAGACAACTTATTCTAGTCTCTAACCACCCTGACAAGAACTTTTCCTAATGTCCAACCTAAACCTCCCTTGCTGCAGTTTAAGACCATTGCTTCTTCTCTTTGACCTCTGAGGATAGGACAACCACTTTTCTCCTTCCCCTTTTTAGATACCCGAAAACCGATATCATGTCCCCCCTGTCTTCTCCTTTCCAAACTAAACAAGCCCAATTCTTTCAGTCTTCCTTCATCAGTCATGTTCTCTACCCCTTTAATCATTCTTTTTGCTCTTCTCTGGGTCTTTTCCACATCTTCCTTGAAATGTGATGCTCAGAACTGGGCACAATACTCTGAGACCTAATCAGCGTAGAGTGGAAGAATGACTTTTCATGTCTTGCTCACAACACTCCTGTTAATGCAGGTTGAGCTAATATGCTAAAAAGAGTGGATGTTGGGTGGCCAGTGACTGGTAAGCGTGGATTTTGGAGGCTAATCCAATGTGTCACCAGTACTGCAACGTCAACATCGACACGCTGCTTTTTTTTTTCATGGCTGTGAAACTGGTAGGGCCCTAATCATAAACCTGATGTGTTTAGTTCAACATAGGTTTCCTCCTTTCAGCTGTTTTGAAAATTCCCTTTACTTTAGGCTGAGCTGATGACTGACTATGGCTATCAGTAACACATCTCCTTGAAGACACTTACCTTGAACTGATGTTAGGCTACATTAGTGTACCAAACTTCAAGTTGCCACATTAACAAGTTCAAAATAATGCAATATTTCTAATCACCTAGTGGTGCTATATTTCCTCTTGACATTAGGAGCATAGCACCAAAACCATAATCTAATTTTTAAATGCTCCTAAATTCACTGAGGTGTGTGGAGAATTTTTTGCGCTATATGTAAATGGGCAGTCTTCACTAAACTCCCCACTTCAGACTAAACGTTCTACATGACTCGATTAAGTATCACCACAAAGCCGCAAGGCTGTTTTTGTCTACTACCAAATGCACTGTTAACTAGGGATTTAAAAGGCTAACTGGTAACGTTAGGCCTACCTAGTAACTGGTTTAACTGGCCCGGGGTAGTCCAGGCCACCATAGCTGGGCTGGTAGTACAATGGGTCTGAGGCTCTGACATTGAGGGACAGGGGACATGATGGCTGGGGTATAATGATAAATGGTATAATTTTAATTAACCAGTTAACTCTTCCAACAGATATATCTCTACTTCCACTATAATAGTGAGATTCTATACCATACTGAGCAAAGGTAAAGTGCAGCAGTTAATAAGATTAACTTGATGTGTCTGCTGTTGATAAAGACTGAAAATTAGTTGATGTGGTAGTCAATGGAAATTTTTAAATGTAAAATACAGCCCTTTGCTTAGGTATTCTTAGAGCATCCTAATGCTATAATAAAACACCTACATATTCAATAAAGTGTGTGTTAAAGTTTAACAATTAAAATGCAACTTCAGGAGTATTTCAGTGTTTACTTTTAAGTGACTAATAAGTAGACTTTATTTTCCTCATTCCTCAGTTTTTGTTGGCTTAATCTCTTACAACCTTCAGTTGGCTCACCTTAAACTGGCAAGTATCTGAACCTTTTTAGGGGAAAGATTCTTACTTTTTGGTCTTGAAAGACAAGGGAGGCCTGGGAAAGCTCCCCTGCTGGATGTATTCCAGACTTTGCATATGACATGATGGATCCATTTGCTTTTAAGCTTTCCTTTAACTGGGTAAGCTTCAGGACCCACTCTCTACCTCTTCATAGAAGCAGAGCCTTGTGGTCCGTTGCCCTGGGCACCCAGGGCCAGTGCTGACTCCCAAGGAGTCCCAGTTTCAATGAGCTCCTGTCTTGTGAACACTCCGGTTTACTGTTTCTCTCCAAGGATGTGTGTGTTGAAGCACATAACACACAGGCTTTGTAAAAGTACTCTGAATTGTGGAGCATTCTTTGAGCTTATGTCTGTCTTTTTAAAGGAGTCCAAGGTCTTTCACTATTGCCAGCTTTCTGCTTCTGCTTTCTTCTCCCTGTTTCTAAAATGGCCAGGCAGAGACCAATTTTTTTGTAGTCTCCTGTCACTGTTTTCAGGTGGCATTGTAACAAAGCAACAGATCACCTGGGCAGACTGATCCTTAAGAAAGGTAGCCAGCTTTTTGTACAAGGGATTTAATGATACTCCATTGTCAGTCCTGTGCCCCTACCCCTTGGAATCTCAATCCAACATGGATCAAAAAAATACATGAGTCTTGTCTGCCTTCTCTGAATTTGAAATTATGAACTCCATGTTTATAGTCTAACCAATCTACAAACTGGAATTCATACATTGTACATAAATGAGTTCCCCATTTCATCACAAAGGGGTTTTATTTCTCTGAAATTAGAGAAATGCAAATTATATTACTCAACACCTTCTATCCATATCTAATCCTCATGACTTTTCACAGGTAGCATTGCCAGTTCATTAATGGACACACTGAAACAGAACATTCACAAAAGTATGTGTAGTAGATACAGAAAGAGAACTCTGTCTTCTGACTGAGGTCCTGTGCTTTGGATACGAGAGATGCTCTAAATCCTGAATAGTGAATTGCATTATATGACTTATGTCATAGCTCAGTAAGGCTGTGTCTACACAGCAGCGTTATTTCAGAATAATTGATGGCATTCTGAAATAACATAGTCTGCATCTAAACCCAAGCAGTTATTTTCACATAATGTCAAAAGAATGTTGAGCTGGAGGACTGCTTACTCGACTCCTGTAACACTCGTATGAGGAGTAAGGGAAGTCAGAAGAAGAGTGCTCTCTCTTGAAATAACTTGTGTTGATAGCCTATTTCAACTTTTGGTGCTGTTTTGACTTAAGCTACGCAATTAGTGTAGCTTGAGTTTAGTCCTGCTGTGTAGTTGTGCCCTAATTGAGTAAACACATTCATTGTAAAGCACACATTTACAAAGACCTCACTGTCCGTGGTAGCTGTTACTACAATAAAGCTGAATGATCAGAACAAATCTTTATTGAATTATATTCTGGAAGGCCTATAGAATGGATGACCACTTGTCTGGTGGCTGTATTATGGCTCCTTGTTCGTTACGGAAGTCATGGATTCTTTAACTTTGCGTGATTTCTGTGGCTGGCCCCAGGG